CAAAGATGACGGGCGGTGTGCTAGCGGCACACTAAAAGGATACAGTATAGTATCCAACCTTCGCATGGAAGTCTTGAAATCAAAAGCACACTAGTCTATATCTTAAAGAATTAAAGCCACTTCACTAATTGGCTGAGGCGAAAACACGAATGATTCGACAACCATGGCTGCGATCGAAAATCACAAATTTGTGGATTTGCCGCCAACAACAGGACTGAAAACTGCCAAAGCAACACGGCCATTGCAACACGCACTCGACTCTGTATACCGCTCGCTCGTGTAACGGCGAAAAGTCGATCAATGCTTGACGCGTGACACCCGATGGAATTCCAGCCTCAAGAAACCGTGGTCTGGTTTGTCCAACGTCTTTGACACATCCCGCGACCAATGGAGCGTTCGAGGAATACCCAAGCAAAGGACAAGGCCACTCGCCCACACGTCACGCGAACGAAGACAGAGGGCGAGTCCTCAAACGAAACCGAAGGTTCCGCGTAAGTAGAAGGTTAGATGCAATCCAGTGCGTGGGTGTGGGGGCAACAACACATGCTGCCAACAGCATGCGAGAAGGTTCCGATGATGACTAACAGCAGCAGAAACTCATCACAACTCGTGATCTCACTCAAACGTGGCATCAAACCCTATAACAACGTGGACGACACACGTCCGAAGAAAGACAAAGCCTGACCAGCCTCTCCTCGTCCGTACATACACCCACATAAACGGCGACACGACACAGCTATGGTTCAACACGAAGACAAAACCACCCAAACAAAATGTGAGCGGAACCTTCCATTTGGAGGACAACCGACCGAGAAGGGGGCGGGGAAGGCCCACAAGCACAGCTGTCGGAACACCGAAATGAATGCGACAGTGACACCGCCCTCTGCCACTTGTACGGGAACACTCTCGGTGCATTGCGCCTCTTCCACCGCCGCCGCTCTCTGAGAATTCCACACACGTAAATACACATTCTGTTTCATGCCATGATCTAAACGTCAACCCAACTTCGGTTCTATTGTTCTTCGCAATTCACCACTCCGAAGACCGAGCGCATTCATGCCAAGTTCCCCAGTAGAAAACGCAAGAACCAACGATTTTGCAGCAAATACAGAGGTGTGAAGTTGAGATACTTTCCTCCTGCGTGCGTACCTGTGACAGACACTTGCACCTTCCCTGTCCACGGGAACGGGGCCAACTTTTCTATTCACAAATATCATCACACTGCTCCAAATCAACCATGGGCGCACGGCTGCCAAGAAGGCACCGACTCCAGCCATCTCGTGCAGGAATAAGGTGGAGTTGTGTTCGTACACACACGAACCCCCCCCCTCTCCCTCTCGAACACCTCTCTTCCATTCAGATTGGCTAGCCTTGTCGCTCTGCTTCTGCCACTCTAGAATAGCCAAGTCGTGGTACAATACATGAGTGTCCAACATTCATTCCTCGGGGTGAACACATGTTGATCAATGTGACACACGGGTTAGTGGCGCAGACAGAGCA